GCAAACAAAAGAATGAACGCGGCTATCCTCTTCTTTGACTTTGAGAAAGCATATGATCAGGTCAACTGGTCTTTTCTACAGCAATGTATGGAGAAAATGGGTGTAGGTCCTAACTTTCGCAAGTGGATAAGAGTATTATACAACGACTCACACGGTCAAGTGCAGGTCAACAGACACCTCTCGGAAAGATATAAAATGACCAGATCAGTTAGGCAAGGTGACCCATTAGGTGCCCCTATTTTTCTCTTTATCATGGAAGCCATAGCTTCATTCCTTAGAAAGGATCCTTCACTTGACCGACTGATAGCTGAACCTGACCAGCAGGGGCGTATTATAGAACTAACCACCACGATACTATTCGCAGACGATCTCACAGTTCTCATCAGGGCAACTGACTCCTCATTTAAGGCACTCACAAAAGCAATGGAAGCGTTTTAGTTGGCATCGGAAATGAGAATTAACTGGCCCAAAACGATAGGTTGGTGGCTCATACACGACCACCAGCACCAGCAGCCCCAACCCCCGGACCATGGAGGAATGGAGTGGCTGCCCCCACATCAGCCTCTGAGGTATTTGGGGATAAGGCTAGCCGATGAGGGCCCTCATCACTCCATGGCTTCGGATCAGATGACCAAAATGTTAGCTAAGTTGGACGCATGGTCCAGTATCTATACCTCTCTGTTCGGGAGAGCCTTGGTTCTAAATGCTTCGATCTTTTCCATGTTATGGTATGCGGGCACCCTGTGGTCACCCCCAGGGCCCGCACTTAGGAAGCTCCGAAGGGTAGCGGCAGCCTATCTGTGGACAGGGAACCCGGCGAAGAACAACTTTATTTCCAAGGTAGCTTGGAAACAAGTAATACAAACAAAGAATCGGGGGGGGGCTGGGTATCCTGGACCCCGAACAGCAGATTAAAGCACTTCAATCGAAATGGATTATCAAACTGGTAACGCAACCTCACTTACGCTGGGTTCCCCTAGTATTGGAGCACATATGGGGGATGTCTAGGTACGCAACTCCCTCAAATATGGAGGGTACTTTTTGGATATTCTGCAAAGGATGTGCAAAAAAGGGTAGAGCAAGGGAACGGAGGGGCGAGGAGGGAACTTCCTCCTCGTCATACTGGGCCCAAATTCTCAGGACATGGGAAGAGATATTCCCGGCTAGAGTACGGAAACCTAGATCTAAGGAGGAAGTCCTCCGACAACCCTTGCTTTGTAACCCCTGGTTAAAGGACTCCCAAGGAAAGCCGAGGACACTAACAGCTAGTGACACCAAATGGGGGAACTGGTTGGAACACGGGGTCTGGCAGATCAAGCATTTATGGTCCCAAAGCGACAATAGATGGAAAACAGGTAGAGAACTGAGAGCTACGTTGAAAGGATGCCATAGGCTCACGGAAAATCTAAACAACGTTCTAATCTCCATCCCACAAGAATGGACGCAGTTGTTGAGAGGGCCTTACAAATGGGAGTGGGGAGATTGGGCGACCTGGAACATAAGCACAGTACCAGAGCAGGCCTTTCGGGTGCAGCAGGAAGTAGGACCCACTAACCAGTGGCTGGATGCTGAAATGTTCGCAGTTCGTAATCTGGGGTTCACAGTGAGTCAACTGGATAAGGACTCTAGGATGGCAATCACAGTCAAGAAAAGTTTGCTCAAGAAGGTCAGGGTGGTAGAGGACGATGAACTTACAATATTTGCACCTACAGTGGCCATTCAAGACTTGGAGTACGACCCGGCGGAATGGGCGTGGAATATTAGGGGTGGAGAAACAAGAATAGCCACGGAGATCAACATACTCCGGTATACAACGAAAATAGGTTATAGGCTGAGGAGAAGATCGACCCTGTTGGACCTTCCCTTAGCATTAAGATGGGAAAAGAGGGAGGGGATATCGAGGGACCAGGTGGGGAAGCTACCCTCGTCATCCCTACACAGTATGAGATTGGGTAAGGTCAGAAGCCTGCAGTGGCTCATCTTTCACGTGGCCCTCCCAGTTAACTCGTGGCTATATGAAAGAAGAAACAGACAAGCTAGGGTCGGGGAGGAACAAAACTGCCCCTTGTGTACGGGTGGGACACCAGAGACGATGGTTCACTGTTTAATCTCATGTCCTGAAGCAAAGCAGGTTTGGGCGTTAGCTTGCACACTATGGTCCCGGGTCATGGAAGTTCCCTTCCCTACACTCAGGGACCGCCTCCTTATCAATATGGAAGCGCCCAGGGGCTGGAACTCTAGCCAGAAATGTATTTTTCAGCTGCTGAGGCTATATACACTGTGGACAGCCTGGAAAAGAAGATGCCAAAGGGTGGTAGGCGATAACCCCATGACCATAATGGAAGCCAGAGTAACGCTGTACAACCTGGTGGAAATGGACATCAGAGCCCTATGGCTGCGAGCCAAGAAGCAAGCGGAGAAGCAGGGAGAGTTGAATCCAGGAAAGGCTAAGGAAATAATTGACAAATTTCGGACAAGGGTGCTAGCAGGGGGCAAAGTAGCGTAATTGGAAGGGGAAGTCTTACGCTTCCATTGGTTTAAGGACGACCTCCAAGACTCACCGTACGAGGACGAGAATCGGGATCCGGAGATGGGGATACCATAAGCCGCGGGAAGGAGGAATTATCTGCAGAAAAGGAGGCTCGCAAGGGCAGGGCCGAGGATAGGAACGACGCAAGGGCGGGTGCGGCGTACCCGCTAGGAAATGGTCTTACAGACAGTTCAGAAGGGGACGGATGACAAGTTAGTGAAGGGGGGGAGTAACGGATGAGAGATTGCCAATTAAGGCATCTAAGGAAGAGCAGGGTTTAGGGTTTAGGGTTTAAGGTTTTTCAACATTTGATATGTAGGGGAAGGGGTTTAGGGAAGTAGGAGAGAACACAGCATTTTAGAGTGGGATTGATTATGGGGGGCAGGAAGGACATTCAGCAGCAAAGGAAGATCTCTTCCTAGGTTTATCAGGGATTTTCTGGCAGAGCTGTTAGGGCAGGTATGAGAGGGAAGAGAGACTCAAGGCAAGCTGACAGTCAATCCTCCACCAAGGGTGGAGTAATCAATGCTGTTCAGGGGTCCACCGGCCGGACGGGAGGAAGCGTGTGTTGTTAATGTGTATTGCATTATACTGCGACTTGCCGGTGGAATAGGAACCGGACTGACGCTCCCCAGAATAGAAGGAGCCAGGTCCATAAGGCCCTGTTTAAAAAAAAAGAAAAAAAAAGAAAAAAGAAAAAAAAGAAAAAGAAAAAGAAAAAAAAAGCGACAACACTTTGGAGTCTGGACGTGAAAGCAGCTGGATACAGAATCTGGAGTGCGAGTGAGAATGCGCCCCCCGTTGCAAAGTGTCAGCTGCCCGTGGAATGCGCCTTGCCTCTCGTTGGCAGGGCACTAAACGCGGATCACCAAAAAAAGAAAGCAAAACACATACAAAAAACGAAACTGGCTATGTTTCTGGGTAGATGCGTTCCTTTGAGTTCTGATGTGA